AGTTAAAGTAAGGTAAGGTAGTACTGTCTGTACGGTACGACGGACGGAGTAGTAGGTAGTAGTCTAGTAACTTAGTAGTTAGTACACACTATATATATATATATATATATATATATATATATATATAATATTAATCTGTTTGTACAATAGTTTTAGTAAACAGTAAGTTAATTGTAAACTTAAAATATGGAAAAGAATGTATTTATAGCAGACTGGTTTTGTGGCAATTTACATAAGTCATAAGCCTATCCAGTTTTACTTTATCATAATTATAATGATAGTAATTTCAATTTATGAAAGGCAATAAGAAAACTATTTCTAGTTAGTAATCTGACCACAGATAATTTCTAGAAATTTCTATTCATTTGGATGTATGATGGGGAGATACTGGTAATATAAAAATCACACTGAAAATGAAATGCATTCTATATCCAAGTTGATTATCTAAGTTTACTTGGACATGAAAACCAAAGTATGACTTGATTGTATTCAAGAGTTCCACACTTATGCTCGTGAGTGGAAAAAAATCATTATTTTTCTCTCTCTGCCCAATGTAATGATGCAGAACATGTGATATTTTTCATTTGAGTACTTCATCTTATAGAACTATATTTTTAGAAGTTCTTTTTTTTTTTAAGTGCAATTTAAAATACAAAGTATTATTTTACCAGATGTCAGTGACCTTATAGTGATACCCTAATAGCAGTTTTATGCGAGTTAAAAAATTGGTCATTTTTGTGCTTGAGTCTGTGCAGTGTCAATATAGATAACCATGTAAACATAAGTGACAGTGGGTATGACTTGCACCCCATGCCAACCCATTCTGGTTTTCTTTAAAATCATCATACTGAGCTTGAAACACTTAAAATGTAATTAAAAGAAATGTGTTTCGTTTATGTTCTTTAAACCCAACTTAAATTCAAGATTTGAAGACTCCTCTAGATCTGCTGTTATTATGAATGATACTTATTTTGACAGTTGTTTTTGTTCACTTGTTTATTAATAAGCCTAAGTTCTTGAATAAGATCAGAAAGATACAAACTATATATATTCTTGTGATTATATGAAATTGTATAACTGGTAGTTGTGTACATTAATGTTATTTATGCTTGACACTTCTTCATATTAAGTTTGAGTTTGTGTAAATGTGTACTATATTTGTCAACCCTTTTTAATATTTAAACTTTTAATATCAAGATATGAATTAAATTGTGCAATTTATTTGGTATAATAGTCGTAACTTATCAGAAGTTAGAAGATTAACTGAACTATAGGAAGGACGAGGATTTGGTTAAAGATATCAAGAAATCCAGGAAGGACAGGGATTTGGTTAAAGATATTAAGAAATTCGGGAAGGACAGGGATTTGGTTAAAAATATTAGGAAATTCCAGAAGGACAGGGATTTGGTTGAAGATAATAAGAAATCCGGGAAGGACAGGGATTTGGTTGAAGATAATAAGAAATCCAGGAAGGACAGGGATTTGGTTAAAGATATTAAGAAATTTGGGAAGGACAGGGATTTGGTTAAAGATATTAAGAAATTTGGGAAGGACAGGGATTTGGTTAAAGATATTAAGAAATTCGGGAAGAACAGGGATTTGGTTAAAGATATTAAGAAATCCAGGAAGGACAGGGATTTGGTTAAAGATATTAAGAAATCCAGGAAGGACAGGGATTTGGTTAAAGATATTAAGAAATCCAGGAAGGACAGGGATTTGGTTAAAAAATATTAGGAAATCCAAAACTAACAGCAAGGAATGTTTTTAAGTATGTTTAACAACATGTTAGACTGACATGTTTTTTTTTATTTAAGACTGAAGAAACTGTTGTATTTGTAGGAGCGAAGATATTTGCAATGAGCATTATATGGGAATATTACAATTGACCTGAATCATGTAGGTAGTAGTCCCATGGTGGAAACTAGAAAGAGTAAGAGATCAAAAACAGATAAAGGACGAAGGGCAGACAAGGATTTCCCTAGAAGATCAAATTTGGGAGTCTCTTTCATTTTTGGTAGGTCAGTAGAAAGTGGGATTGGAGGTTTTTTTTATTTTACTCCTATTTTTAAAGGAGACAATATAGAGTTGGACTGTTATTCTTATTTGAATGGTAGAAAAATTGTAAGGAGTAATAAAAGAAGCTATAAAATATCATTTAGATAAATATATTGTAAATGAAATCCAAGATGGATTCATGAAAGGGAAATCTTGTCTTACTAATCTGTTACCTTTTTTTTTCAAAGATGTTAATTATTATCTGGATGAAGGAAATGATGTAGACTAAATATTAACTAAGAAAACCACATTGGTAGATTGGGGAAAGACTAGTTAATTGAATTGTAGGATGGTTGGATGGAAGAATGCAAAATGTTATTAATGGAGTACAGTCAAACCTTTTCCAAGTAGGATACATCAGAAATCAATGCTTGAGCCTTTACTTTTTTCTTATTTACATCAATGATGTTGATAAGAGCATGATTAGTAAGTTTAGTAAAGTTTGCTGATGACAAACTTGTCGGCATTTCTATTTGTATTGAAGATGTTGAAGTATTACAAAATGACTCTGATTAGTTGTAACTTATCCGAGTTGTTTAGCATACGACCTTTAGTTATAGAAAGCACAATGCAATTGGGTTATCATGATTTGGATCGCTTGGTTGATATAGATGTTAATTCATTTAATAGCTTGACAAGAAGAAATGATCTTAGAATATTGGTGGATAACTCACTCAAGCCATCAAAGCAATGTTCTGTTGCTAGTATTAAAATTAATATACTCTTAACAATCTAATACTCTTTGTACAAATCACGAGTTAAACATCACTTAGAAAAATTTTCAGTTTTAATCTCCTTAAATAAGAAAAGATATTGACTTGGTAGAAAGGGTTCAGAGGAGTGTTACCAGGATGATTCCGGGCACGTAAGGAGAACTTAGTGATGATGTAAAATCTCTTAATGTCTTATCTCTTGAGAAAAGAGTGGTAAGGGGTAATGTTATGGAAATTTAATTACAGTATTACCTAGAGAATCAAGTAGGATAAAGACCTCTGAAGACAAGTTTAAGATTTAGAAAAGACAGTTAAGATACTTTAATTTTCTAATAGGGTGATTGGCTTATGAAATGAGTTGCTGTCTGCAGAAGTGGAGTGCAGTACTTTACAGGAGTATAAGAGAGAAATGATTATTTTCCCAAATGTAGAGGGTGGGTTTAAATTTTTCTTTTCTAAAGGGTGGGTGTTGAAGGATAGCTTTGAAGTACTTAATGGTCCTTTAGGTTCTATATGTTATGTTAATTTCTATAAAATTCTGTAGGTATTCAAAATTGTACAGCATGTTTTCATAACTTATTTATGTGTGTTTTCTTGTTAACTTATGACTAATATAATGAAAATTTAACTTTTTTTGTAACTAATGTAATTATAATTATAAATTTCATTCATAATCAAAGCTTTTTATCTGTTCACTTCCAGAAAAAATAAGAACATGACTGAAAAACCAGGTCAATACATGCACTTGTTCAGTGAAGAATAACTATTGTGCTATTAAAATATACCAGGTCATGAATGCTTAGATTTGTAATAATACTACATCATATCTGACAAGTTGGATAAAATGTTTGTTTCAGATGAAAGAGTAGATTGTTTACTAAAATGAAGCAAGTAGAAAGACATCTTCTTCTTAGTCTGTTGCTTTCAACTGGTGTAATAGGTACTGATCCCAGTTCCACACAGACAGTAGATTCCAAAAAACTACAAACAGTTCCTCCTTGTCAGGCCTGTCGCATACTTGTCAGTTCTTTTCAAAAGGTAAGTTAAAATATTGTTAAATTTACATATAAAACCTTGTAAAATAATTTGACAAAAAGTATCTATTTAAATGTTGCCAATTGCATGAATTTAAAAATGAACTCTGAGGAGATCATTTATCTGTTGTCTTCATATTTGTTAAAAACTCATTCAAATTAGTATTAACCAAATTTTTTCATCCATTGGCTATCTGAGTTCTAAGAAAGATTTATTTTTGAATCGTTTTGCAGAAAATGTTCAGTATATATATATTGATGAGAGAAGGTTGATTGTGAGCTCCATCAGTCTTGCAAACAGTGAATCTTCTGGATGGTAGAATTGTCATGAAACGACCATTAAGCTCTCACTGGGGTCCACTTCTTCATGTCACATACACTATCTTGGTACTAACAAACCTGAAAATGGGTTCTAGGAGTTACCCAAAATGCCATCATCCACTGACTCTCTTGTCCAAAGAATTCATTGGTTCCAAGAGTCTTTAATCAACCTTTTGTCATCATTAAAATGTGGTTTACAGTTTGTTCTGCATGAACTGAAAATCATCATGACTTTGATACCACAACTATACAGTATTGTGAAAATTTTAAGTAAAGGTCAGTATGTGTTTGAAATGGAGGATGTGTTGATGAGTAAGACCAGAATAATGTGTTGGTTTGTTTTATTTTAAATCATTTTGCGAATAAAAAACAAATTACCTTTCTCCGAGTCTTTTGTCTTAAAGAAAATTATTGTAAAAAGAGGTACCAGAAATAATTGTTACTTGACGAGCACAGGTTCTACAGATAGTTTTGTTGACATAAAGAAAAACTGAGAATGGTATGATAGAGGTGAATATATTTAATTAACTACAATATACTGATTTGTTTTCTTATTATTATTAATAATAATATTCATTATTCATCAGTTTAAAACTGTTATTAATAAAAACCGTTTTAAGTACAATATTGAGACCTTGGTTTGGTAAGTATAATTGGATGGGAATAACTTTAACAGTGTTAAAAAAGAAAGGGATCTTGATGTAATAGTTGATCAGTCTCTTAAGCCATCCTAACAGTATGCTGTTTCCAATGGTGGGGTAAATAGGATTTTAGGTTGTATCTACAGAAATATTGAATATAAGTCTAAAGAGGTTATACTTTCATTGTACAGGTCACTGGTTTAGGCCACATTTGATGTATTGTGTTCAGTCTTGGTCTCCTTACCTTAGGGAGGACATTGAATTGTTGGAAAGGGTTCAGAGAAGGGTTACTAGAATGGTGCCTGGGATGCAGGGGTTGTCATACGAGGAGAGTCTGAAATCTCTCAAAGTCTTTTCTCTTGAAAAAAGAAGAGTTGGGGGGGATCTGATTGAGATGTTTAAGATTGTAAAAGGAATTGATAGTGTTGATGTATCATGTTTTTTCACTCTCAACAGTGATAATAGTAGGACCAGGGGACACAAATATAAATTTTGGTAAGGTAGGAGTCATCTTCAGCTGAGACCGTTTTATTTTTCTAACAGCGTGGTTGGCCTTTGGATGTTTTGGAGGCAATAAATTTAAGTGAGTTTAAGAGAAAGCTTGATAATAATCTTAAAGTCAGTCCTTATCATTCATATACTTTTTTTATATTTCTAATAGGTTTATTTTAGAGGATGGAGCAGCTGAGATGGATCAATAGTTCCTATGTTGTCCCGAAATATTATGTTATATAAGCTGTTATATGTTATTTTATGTTATGTTAAAATCTAGAAGTTATAACAATTTCTACTTTTGTATCACAAATAAAAACCAAATTGATTGGATTTGTGGCTCAAACATTATTCATAACATGGTTTTCTATTTATATTTGTCATATGTTTATGTGTTTAGGGTTTGGAAGCAACAGCTCGAGGAAAACATGAAGGAGGCAATACTGGATGGGAAGAATCTAGACTTGGGAATTATGCTGATAGGTATTCTTTTATTAGTATTCATATTATGCCGATGGGTAATCCTTTATCATTATGAAATACTTAGTTAAAGAAAGGTGAATTTCCAAAATGTTTCTTTAAAAGTCTGTGTTTATCAAAGTATCTTCTCTGTAATTACCATCATATGAAATGAATGTGAAAAGCTTTACAACAAAAAATGTATGTAATTCTCCAATAGGCTGTTGTTAAGTTCAATGTTTTTTACAATATGATCATATAAATAGGCTTAGCAGTACATGTAACTTTTTACTTACTGCAGTTGTATTTTCTGGTAAGTTGTGGCAAATTCAAGATAAAAATACTTTGCACAATAAGAATTCCAGGTCAAATGAGTTTCAATTTTTCTAAATTTCTTTTGTCATCTTTAAAAGTTGTTCTTGATTTTGTAAACCTGTAGATTTTATATGTTGATATATTCAGGCTAAAAACCAAATAACGCAGGAAACCAATACTTCTCAGTTTAACAGTAAAAAATGAACAATAGGTGATTTTGGGTAGATGAATTTCTTTTCTGCCCATATTAATAGAACAAAGCTCATCAATGTATAGAGCTGGGCAATGAACTCGATGTAATTGATTAACTATGATCGTTGAGTAGTTTCACGTAAAATGAATTGAAATTGCAGTTAGATCGAGTTATATCACATAAAGAAGCATATGTTTTTTACTACTGTTTTCAATTAATCCTACTACACAAGTAATTGAGATATTGCCATTATAATTTCTCGCTATTAATTTCCATTAAATCCAGTTTATTCAACTTAATCATTAGTTTAATGACCAACAAAAATTATTATTAATATTTTCGATTATTCCAACTATTCTAATTATCAAAATATTGCAGTTATGATTTCTCGTTATTATTTTTTTTGATTAATTCAAGTTTGTTTAGTTTGAGTTTCTATGGTTCCAGTGACTGGGGGGGTTAGGGTTAGCATTGCGAATTGTATCTCGAATTTGATTCCTTTTGTCATCAAACTTGATCTTTCCTTGCAGCAGTGATTACGTTTGTTTATTTTGAGCTATGGTAAAGCTACCTGTCACTATCCCTAATTTTGAACTGCTGACCACATAACAACATCTTGTAATGTTAACAGTAACCAATAACATGGATTTCAGGCCTATATTTATGAATAAGAAGGCTCTATTTTATAAAAGGGCTTCTTTCGTCATTCGTCTTAGCTAAGAATTTAGACAAATTAGATGTGATCATTACATCGCAATCTTCTTGGACATGTATCACCTGTAGTGGAATTGGTCGGTGATCTGAAACTTAAATGTTCGTTTATACATGATATTAATTCCTTTTAGTGGATCCAATATGACCTTGCTGATAGCAACGAGTATAAATTTGATTATTAAGGACAACTGAAAACTGGAAGTATCGTCCTTAAATTTTAAACACACATTACAAATAATCTGTTTGAATTAATTTTTAATAACTAAAAAATATTTAGACATTTCAGTTGGAAAAATATTAGGCTAGTTTCTCTCATTTCGATAGGAAACATATTTTTTGCATAAAAAAATTCTTAATTTCAATAAATTCTTTGTGCATATCTTTGTGAGTACTAGATATTTTAAACTTACAATGGAATAGTATTTAAAAACATTTGGAATAAAACTATGAAAATTACAATATTTTCCTGTAATATAATTCACACTGGAACTCTCCATTTTAGTTACAAATTAGTGTTAGTGTGTCTGTAAAAGGAAGTTTATTGATGTAAACTTTGTACTGTTGTCTATTGTAAAAATTGAAGAGCTTGATCAGAAGTCCTAAAGATAGTAAAGGTATCGTCAACATATCTACAGTAGTAGTGAGGTTTAAACTATTGACAACAATTTTCAAGCCACAGAAGTCCTAAAGATAGTAAAGGTATCGTCAACATATCTACGGTAGTAGAGAGGTTTAAACTATTGACGATAATGTTTAAGCCACAGAAGTCCTAAAGATAGTAAAGGTATCGTCAACATATCTACAGTAGTAGTGAGGTTTAAACTATTGACAACAATTTTCAAGCCATAGAAGTCCTAAAGATAGTAAAGGTATCGTCAACATATCTAAAGTAGTAGAGAGGTTTAAACTATTGACGATAATGTTTAAGCCACAGAAGTCCTAAAGATAGTAAAGGTATCGTCAACATATCTAAAGTAGTAGAGAGGTTTAAACTATTGACGACAATTTTCAAGCCACAGAAGTCCTAAAGATAGTAAAGGTATCGTCAACATATCTAAAGTAGTAGAGAGGTTTAAACTATTGACGACAATTTTCAAGCCACAGAAGTCCTAAAGATAGTAAAGGTATCATCAACATATGTACGGTAGTATAGAGGTTTAAACTATTGACGACAATTTTCAAGCCACAGAAGTCCTAAAGATAGTAAAGGTATCGTCTACATATCTAAAGTAGTAGAGAGGTTTAAACTATTGACGACAATTTTCAAGCCACAGAAGTCCTAAAGATAGTAAAGGTATCATCTACATATCTACAGTAGTAGAGAGGTTTAAACTATTGATGACAATTTTCAAGCCACAGAAGTCCTAAAGATAGTAAAGATGTTAAATGTTAGTTAAATATAATCAATTAATGAGCCCAACAATTGATTAGTAAATATCTCTAATTGTCCAGTTCTACTGGTGTTTTATATTAACACAGACAATAAAGGTTTTAT